GGCTAGAAAAAGGCTAATGGCCCAAACACTGAGGGGCTTTAATTGAGTGGAATTTAAATGGAAGTTGTATTTTAAAATTTTCCATTGGCTTGTGGATAATAGCCCTTCATTTGATGGCAATTCACTCAAATAGTTCTTATCCCAAGTCAGAATTAAATAAAGCACGCTGTTTGAGACTATGTCTGAGTCAGTTCATTAAGGCAGCTCTATTATAAAATACTACTTGGTAATAATTTTTGTAAACAAATACCATATATACTCAAGTATAAGGCGACCCAAATGTCAGCCGAGGCACCTAATTTTACCACAAAAACTACATTAAAAATATGCTGAAAAACTCAGCTTATACACAAGTATATACGGTAAGTAGGGTAACTTTATTATTTGTTTTCTTGCTTAAATATAATTTTTAAGGTCTTAGTGTTTTAAAGACATTTACTTTGCTATGTAGTTTTCCATTCCATAACTTTGTTTGTTTAAAGCAAAAGATCACATTCATGTCTGGGAGTATATATTGCACAGGAACCTATTTTAACAATAAAGAAGAGTGATTAAAATTTGGTAGTCTCCAATTTAATTCAACATTACATTTATTCTTAACAGTTTTTCAGACCTTTTATAGCCTTACCACAAAACTAGTATTCACAATAGCCTCTATACATTTCTTAGTAATTGTCCAGCAACTTATTGCCAATGCTACAAACTTTTAAAATAATCTATCAACTATTTTATATATAGAAGTTCCAAAAATTCAGTTATATAGAACCTATCAGACAGTGTTTTCTGTTCAAATTCATGTATTCTTGAATATTAAGGTGATTTCCAAATATCTTTTTTAAACTGCTTCCATGGTGAATGGAAGTTCACAGCTCCATAACTTAATTTTTGGTGATCACTAACTTTTCTAGCTGTCATAGAACTAGAGGATTTTTTTCGTTTAGTTAAATATCGAAGAATAACTTAAGATTTAACATGAGGAAGCGTTTTCTTACTAGCTGTCCACCACTTCCTTTGCTTCATTCGCTCACTTACCATTGGAAACTCACAGCATTCATTCCCTGCCCTGCTCCTTTATCTGTCCTCACTTTCTTTTTGTTTTTAATCATTTTATTGGGGGCTCATACAACTCTTATCACAATCCAAACATATGTCCATTGTGTAAAGCACATTTGTACATTTGTTGCCCTCAACATTCTCAAAACATTTGCTCTTCACTTAAGCCCTTGGCATCAGCTCATTTTTCCCCCCTTCCC